TAGGTTGTGCCGGTCGAGGATGGGACTACTTGAGCCGAGACCGAGATATCGAGAATAACTTTTGTCGAGCCCAGAAAACTGAAGGAAGAACTGAAGAAACGGACTGAAAACGCGTCCAAGATTTTTCGCGACTCACGAGTCAAGTCGCGACTCGTGAGATAGTCACGACTCGCAAGTTTAACAGAGACGGAAGGAGATTCCGCGAGCTCGAGTCGCGACTCGCGAGCTAGGTCGTGACCAACCCCAGAACGTGAAGAAAATGTTGACGCGCGACTCGCGACCGATAAAATTGATAAGTCACAACTCGCGACTTAGCGACGCAAAAATCGAGAAGCGGGATTTTTACATCATAATTAGGACCTAGGGTTCATTCATTCACTTCCAGACTTGATTTTACGCTTTTTCTCTCTACAGAACTCATTCCTTTTCATTACTTTTGCACTTTGAATTTGTTTTGGAGATTGAAAACTCCTTTTCTAGCTTTGAATTTGGATGCTCTTGGATTGACATTGGTTTTTACATTAATCATAAGTACTTTTTTCTCAATTCTTCTATTGATGATGATGACTTGGGTTATTGAAGTTTGTGATGTTATATCCGTTATGAGTAGCTAAATCTGATTAGGTTCGTTTATAATTGCTTGCTCATGATTGTTCATATCTATGCGAGTTGTATGCAATATAGGGTTAGTAGATTGATCACCTTTCTAACCTAGCTAATCAACGTGTAGAACCAAGAGGGGAGACGTTGGTCGACTTAGGCTCGTTTAGGATAGACTTGTTCGGAAACGTATTATCTATGTGTTGCTGGAATTGATAGTTTATCGTTTACATTCGCTCTCTTGTTACAAAGAGTTATTGAGAGTGAACCTCTGGACGAGAAACGATTCAAGTCCTTTAACCGAGGAATTGAATGCCTGGTAATTGTGTTAGAACCGAAAGCAATTGTCCCCGATTCCCTAGCACTTTAATCATCGAGTGAATTCATTTCTATTTTAATTTGTATTCCATTTAGTTTAAATCCTTAGTTGATAATTGAAACCCAAAATTTATTGAATTAGAGTGTTTAGGAATGCACAAATATAAAGATCGATATTTTTGTATCACACGTTCCAATTAAATAAATTGTGATGATTAGTGGAAAATGATATTTAAAGAATAGCGTTCAATATTTTTTTTTTTT